AGCCGGGGGCGCCTGTGAGGCCCGGAGCCGCGGCTGCTTTTCCTGCCCGCCTGAGCCGCCGAAGTGAAGCTCGGGTGTGGAGACGCGCGAGACCCCCGGCCTCCCGAGACTCCCGACCCGCGCGAGACCCCCGGCCTCCGAGACGCCGGCCTGGAGACCCCACCCGCCCACTGGCTGCCGACAGGCCCCCGGCCCGGGACTCCAGCCTGAGGCTCGGGGAGCCGGGCGCACAGAGGGGCGGCTAAGACGCGGGCAGTGCCGGGCCGGGGGCGCCGGAGGAGGCCGCCCCTGCCGTGAGCACCCACCCCTCGTCCCGGCCGGCGGCACCCGAGTCCGGGGCCCAGGCTGCGAAGGAACAAGATGGCCGTGGCGAGGGGCCTCGTCCTCCCCAGCGGTCAGCGACGCGGCGTCCACGCTCAGCACACACGTGAGTGTCGCCCCCTCCACCTCCGAAGTTAGGGCCAGCGCTGGCACGCCTAGGCGGGCGGGGGGGAGCAGTTCCCGGCCCCTCCTGGCCCCCCGAGTCCCCACCAGGCTGCCACCGTGGGCACGTTTGTCTGTCTGAGGCGCCCCGTACCCCTGCGCCGGACCAGCGCCCCGAGCCGCCGGCTCCCTGCTGGGGCGGGGAGCAGGACCCCAGGGCGGGCGGGGATGCCAGACGGGTCCTTGCTTAGTGTACACGGGCCCCACGGCTCTGCTCGTACCTGGGGTCCCCAGACACGTCCGGCCGAGGGCAGGCCCGCTGGGCAGTCCTGCGGCTCCGGGACAGGCGGAGCGGCCGGCGTCTCCTGAGGGGCTTGTCCACTTGGGACGTGCCCTGGTGGCCGCCCACGTGTGTGCGGAGCGAGCCGGCTGCTGGGGTTCAGGGTCGTGTTCGGACTCAGCCCCAGGAGCCAGCACGACCAGCACAGGGCGCCGGGGCCAGCTGCTCGGGCCGGGCTGTGCGGGGGGTCGGCCCACACCCAGCACACGTCCCCGGTCCTGACGCCGCAGCCGCGTCCCAGCCGCGTCCCAGCCCAGAGAGACAGGCGTGGGCCTCCTCCCAGGGGCCGGCCCCTCAGGCCCTGTCTGGGGCATCCGGCCACAGTGTGGGTGCGCCCCTCACAGCCCAGGCCAGGCCCCGCTCTGCCCAACCCCGCTGGAAGGCCCAGCAGCTGAGCGTTCAGAGAAGCTGGGCGGTGGCCTCGGGAGGGCCCTGGGCAGTGGTGGGGTGTCCACTGACTCGCAGGCCCTTCCTGACGCAGTGAGGTGCCCGCCCCGGCCAGGGGCCAGCATCGGAGGGCCCTGTGTCCAGACCCGGCCGTCCAGGACAGGGGGACGCAAGTTTCCTTCCCCCATGTTTGTCTCAGATTTAAACTGAGGAAAGTTGCAGATTCTGATATTTTTAAGCCGGGAGGAAAGTGCGCCGTGGACACGTGCTGGCTCTGGCTGCCAGCGGACCACGAGGCACCCCAGCTCCCATCTGCCCCGACCCTCTGGATCCCCGCCCCAGCACCGCGGCTGCTGGCGGTCACGGTCGAGCCTCAGCTGCCTGGCCCAGCCTCCTCCCTCGGGACTCGGCGCCACGTCCAGGACTCTGCTGCTCGGCGTCCCCGGGCCCCCCACCACCCCTGCCTCCCACCCTGCCACGTTCCTTCCTGTGGTCAGTACCCGCCCTGGACGCCGGCCAGCTCTCTGCGCTGGAAGCACAGTCCAGGGAGCACGGCGTGGCCCTGGGACACCCACCGAAGGACAGAGCTCCCTGAGGGGTGTGGCGGGTGGGTGGATGGACTGGTCTCGGAGTCTGGGGCCACAGTCCTCACCGTGCCGGCCCGGCCCGGGGCCAGGACACACACCCCCGCCACAGGGCCCATCCCCGTCAGGGGCACCCCCAGCCTCGCCAGGCCTCGCAGCCGGGTCCTCTGCAGACGGCTGGACAGCGTGAGACCTGGAGGAGAGGCGAGGGTGGCTCCTCCAGCTGGGCGCGGGTCTGGAGGCCCCTGGGGGAGGGAGGAGAGAGAGGAGGGGGGCGGGCAAGTGTCTTGGGGACAGGAACGAGCCACCCCTACCTGGGCCTTAATTGCACATGATTTCATTAGCGGGTCCTGGTGCGCTGCGCTAATGAGGAGAGGCTGCGCTTCTAAAAATAGCGGGTCCTGCTCGAGTGTTTGAAGCCTGCGCCACCGGCTCCCGGGCTCCGGCGTCCAGGCTCCCAGCGTCCAGGGTGCCCGCGTCCAGCTGTCAGCGTGGTGTCTGTCAGCACCCCAAAGAGCCGGGCGGGGTGCTGAGCTCGCTGAGAGCCACGGTCTCCCCACCAGCACCCCTGGTCCAGGGCCTGTCTCTAGCATGTCGCCCTCCAGCAGCGGCAGTAGCCAGGCCCTGTCCACTCCTAGGGCCCCTGGCCAGGAATTTTGGACAACCGGGGGGTGCGGGGTGCCAGCCCGCAGTAGGCGCCGGGTGCTGGCGGGGAGGAAGGGGGTGTGGTGGGCGGTCCCTGGCACAGGCTCCCTCCACGCGGCTGGAGGCCTAGCCTGGGCCCTCGCTTCTCGCGGTGCCTCTTGACCAGCCTTCGGGTCAGTGCCGCGTGCTGCTCCACCCGGAGTCTCAGCCCCATTTCAGGTGGACGTTGGCACCAGACGCCCCATGTCAGCGCAGCTTCCCAAGTGAGCGCGGCCTTAGGGCGCCCCCTACCCCGTGCCGGCATTCTCAGGCCAGCCCAGCCGAGCGCCTGACCCCGAGGGACGAAGGACAGGCAGGCCGGGGCCGCAGCGGCTCAGCCAAGCACTCAGGCCGGCACTCAGGGCCGTGTGCGTGAGGACGACCCCGCCGGAAGGGAAGCAGGTGATGAGTGTCACGGCTGAGCTCACCTGTGCCCAGAGGCCCCGGGAGAAGGGGCGTCCCTCTCAGACCCACCCAGCTGCCCAGACTGTCCCCGGGAAGGCGGTGGAGCCTGGCGGGGCCTCCTGCACCATCCAGCTGCAGAGCCAGGGCACAGCGCCAGGCCCAGGGGACAGAGGTCGGGTGGGGTCCGTGCTGGAGCCCCAGCCCCTGGAGCTGCAGAACTGTGGGTGGAGGCAGCAGAAGGCCTAGAAGCTTCCACAAGCAGCTGCAGGTCCCTCCAGCCAGTGAGCCCAGGCTCACTTCCCGGACAGCAGAGGAGAACAAGTCCAGATGAACCCCGCACGGGGCGCCTGGGCAGCCTCCTCACCCGGCGCAGAGTGCAAAGGCCCTGGGGCCGCTCACCAGGCCGAGGCTCGCCGGAGCTGTCCTCGTCCCCAGGCTGACCTGGCCCAGGGCTCACCGCGGTGAGCCCTACGTGTGCTGGCTGTGGGGCACGCGCACGCGGTCAGCGTGACCCTCCTGGGCGCCACGAGGGGGTGTGGCCTGCCGGGCGCGGAGCCCTCCCTCGGCCACCCTTCCCCCTGCCAGGGAGCCGAAGCCGGGAGCAGCTGGTTCTAGTCGCTTCCTCCAGATAGCCGGTCCCCAGCGTGCGGGCCGGGGGTGAAGCGGGACCCCGGGGCCAAGCAGAGCCGCGCCCTGGCCCGGGAGCTGCGGGGCTTCGGCCATTACCAAGCCGAGCTTTCTCATGGCCACGCGGGCTGGAGCCGGGGTCGCCCGGACGCCGTGCTGGAGGCCGCAGAGGGGCGCTGGGACGCACCGCGCGGGAGCCCTGCCCGTGGGGTCCCCGGGGGGCGCGCCTCCCTCCTCCCAGCCGCCGCCACACTCGCCCGAGGTGTCACCATCGTGGCGGCTGCTTTTTTTTTTAATATGTAACGTCGGCGTTAATTGAACCCTGAACAGAAGGCGAGCCTCCCGCTGGCGTCCGATTCCGTTAGTGCCAGAAGCTGCTCTCCGAGCAGGGAGGGGCTCGTGTATGTGTTTTGGGCCGATGTCCCGCCGCCGTCGGGCTGTCACCTTGATCCTCGTCGGTGACCATCGGCGTCACAAACGACTGATCTGCTCGGGGGGTTGCTGCCTCTAATTTGCCTGCCGTCGGGGCAGACGGTGCCGTCAGAGCCGTTTGGAATGTTCTGTCTCTCGCAGGCACAGGTAGTTATTCCCTCCTGGGCCGGAGCTGCCCGAGCGCACAGCACCCCCCAGGCCCCCACGAGGGGCTCCGGACCCCGCCCGGGTCCCGCGGCCCAACAGGGCAAGTGCTGGCGTCAGCACATTAAAACCTTTCATTCTTCCACCCACAAGCGGGAGGCGCGGGCCGGGGACACCGCTCAGGTGAGGCGTTTCAGACAAGGGGGCAGACGCGGTATCTGTTCTCTCAAGGCAGGCGGGCGCGGGGAAACACGTCAGCCGGTGTCACGGTCAGGAGCTGCTTTTAGTTTCTCGGATAAGCGTGATTCAGTCGTGGAAGCTGCGACAGCAAAACGCTTAAAGCCCCAGCCCTCGGCGCAGCCCTCCGCGTCCCGCGCACCCTCGTCCCTCCAGGGGACATGTCGGGCCCGTGGCTCCCGCGCCGGGCGGGGAGAGGCGCGGCCACCGCCACCTGCGCCCTCCGGGCTCCTCTGCGCTTGGCGGCCAGGCAAGGGCAGGCCCAGGCGGCGCGTCCTGGCTGGTGGGTGGGGAGCGAGGCCCTTCCCGGCCGGGTGGAGGGACCGCTGACCCCGTCCCCACTCCCGGGAGGGGCTCTGCTGGCCCAGGTGGCTGCGTCCCCCCGCCGGCCCCACCCAGCTGGAGCGAGAGCCGGGGCATCGGGCCCGCGGCTGGTGAGAAAGTGCACGGGGAGCACTGGGCCTCCCGCCGCAGCCTCCGCGGGTGGGGACGCAGACCCATGGGGCCTTGGGGTCACTGGTGGGGGGTGCTCACGGGAGGGGAGCGCGGGACAGGCCATCCCCGGGCGACGGGCGGAGACGCAGAAATGGCGGCCACTGTGCCTGGAAGGAAGGGAGCCCCTCGGCTTTTCCAAGGGGGCTCCTGAGGCCCCGGCGGCCCCTGGGGCAGGACAGCAGCCCCGAGGGGCCTTGTGCTGTGGCCGCCCGGCCAGCCCTGACCTGTCCCCTCCCTTGCAGTCAAGCTCAGCAGCTGCGCGAGGACCGAGGGGCTGCAGTACGAAAGCAGCAGCCTGGACTTCAGAGTCGGGCTGGACGGGACGGTCTTCGCGGCACGGGAGCTGCGCATCCCCTCTGGCCAGGTGGCCTTCACCGTCGCTGCGCGGGACCGCCGGACGGCCGAGCGCTGGGAAGCTGTGGTGCGGCTGCGGGTGGCGCCCGCCGTGCCCTCGCACCCCGGAAATGCAGTAAGTAAGGCTGCGGGCAGGTGCGGGGCTGCGGGCGGGGAGGGACGGGGGGCGGGGGGGGGGGGGGAATGCTGGGTAGAAGCCAGAGGCAGGCCCCCGGGGGCGCGTCAGGTCTGGAGCCGGCTGGGCCCAGCCCTGGGGGGTGAGGGCGCCAGCTGCCGTGAGTTCAACAGCAACGGGTGGAGGAGGAGACAGAAGCCCCGGGAACAGGGAGCCTTTCTCACAGGAGGCCGGTCCCGGAGTCCCCCGGCCCTTCCCCTCCATGGCGCAAGGGCGGCTTCGCCTTCCAACCCCAAAAGGTCTCTCCTCCCGACGCATCCAGGACGAGGCTCCTCAGACCCCAAATCCAGCCCCAGCCCTCTGCATGGCTCCTGGGCCTGCGGGCCGGGGTCTGCTCGCCTCCTGCAAACTGATAAAACCATGTTATAAGATGACACAGGCCCTGGGTCCGGGGGCCCAGAGGATGCTCCAGCCCCACAGACATGGCCAGGCGTTGGCGCGTCCTCCGTGCACAAACAGCACACGTGGACTAGACACCTGACACGGGCGGACGCTGTGTAGTAGTTGCTCAGGGAACCGTGGCAAGAAACATACCCGTGCCTGTCGCGGACAGGTGTGCCGTCACCGACCGCGCAGCACAACCTTCTACCCGGACAACACATACCTGCACGACCTTCTACCCGACAACCTTCCCAGGTGGACCTTCTACCCGGGACCTTCTACCACAATGACCTTCTACCCGGACGACCCCCCACCCAGGACCTTCTACCCAGTGCAGATTTTCTGCCCACAGTTGGTTGGCTGGACCTGCCTACGAGGAGCCTTCGATGCCAAAGGCCGACCAGCTGGTCTCGTGTCCCCGGCCCTCACAGAGCCAGCCCACTGGGGGTGAAGACAGGCCTGCCCCCGAGACCCTGGCGGCAGGTGCCGGCTCCCTGCCTTCCTGACGGGTCTCTGCTGACACGGCGCCGGGCCCTGGCCTTCACGCGAGGCAGCGCTTCTTGCCTGAAGCTGCGCAGCTTCCCGACGACACCGTGTGCACTCGGGCGGTGTATTTCAAGGTGTTCCAAGGATACAATTGTTCCTTTTCCTGTCATCAATGTGAATTTTCAAATAAAAAAAAAGAGGCATCGGATTCAGCTCTAAGATAATAGATGGAAAAACAGAATAATAAAATTTATCAATCCCCAAAATGTAAGAGAAGAGAAATGGCTGTATAGCTCTCTTTGAGTAAGATGGCAGACCTCACAATATATTATCATAATAAATGAAAATAGATTGACTGTTGCAATCAAAAGAAAGCAAGTGGACATATTAGGTTGCGTCAACTCGATGCAGGGCGCTCAGATGCCCGTATGGGGGCGGGCGAGGAAGTGGACGCTGAGCGCTCCCAGCTGTCCAGAGAGGGGAAGGGAGGGGCCTCGGAAGCAGGAGTTCCCTTGGCAGAAGGTTCTAGAGACACAGACCCTTCCGCAAAGGAGGAGATGCAGGGCCAGGGAGCACCCCCAGGCCTGGCGTGGGAACCCGACCCCAGCGCCCGGCCGGCGGCGACTCAGCCACGCAGCGGAGCTGCAAGACTGACAGCTTCACAGTCAGATGCGCCTTGAGCGTCTGGCAGCGCCTCCTCCCCGGCAGCTATTTACAGCGGCTTTCTTGTGGGTAACACAGGCAGTGCTGGGATCTGGAAGGACTTTTTTTGTGCAGTCTTGCAGGAAAGCTGATAGCAATTCAATTAGAAAATGCAAATGAGGTCGCACTTTCCCAGGAGAGGGACTGCCCCGGGAGCGAGCAGGTCCCAGCGCCAGCAGCCGGGAGGGCCGTCAGCCGGCGCCGGGCTGGGCCGCGTGTGCTTGTGCAGAGGAGCCGCTGCTGATGGGCCAGTGCTGGGTCTGGAGCCACTGGCATGCAGGCATGAGGGTGGACACGGCAGCCGGGGGAGCCCAGGCAGCCAGCTCCCTCGGCCGCTGCCCGACCCCGGGTCCCGCCCCGGGCGTGAGTTTGCCCGTGTGCCCGCGGAGTTCTCGCCACAGGGCTGGCACGGGGCTGCAGGTGTGTTGGTCAGAGTGAGCTCCTGCGTTTGGTGGTCCAAACCCAGCCCAGGGGGCCTGTGGAAGGGGAGTTTGGACACAGCACCGGCAGCACCCTGGTGGCCAGGAGGGCACATAGGGGCGACGCGGCTCCAAGCCAAGGGCCCCAAAGACTGCTGACCAGCCGGGAGCGGGGGCCAGGACAGAGGTTCCCCAAGAAGGAGACATACTGCCTGCCCCTTGATCTCGGGCTTCTGTAACTGGGGGCACAAAATGTCATCTTAGTGCCCCGGGCTAGGCTGCAGGCACTGGACACACACACAGGCCAGAACTCCCTGCCCCGGAGACCGGCCCCATGTGAACCCCCAACCAGAAATCCGTCCCCAGGTGGACGCCCCAAGGCTTCTAGGTGCAGCCATGTGGCCTCCAGTGCCAGCAAGGACTTGCCAAGACCCGGCCCTGAAACCCCCCAGGGCGCAGGGCCACTCGGGGGTGGGGGCACAGCAGGCCAGGACTCAGGTGGGCGCCACAGCAGGGGCCTCTGCTTGTCAGCCTCGTCACCTCTTTCCCTGTGGCCCCAGCCCTGCGGCAGCCAGGCTGGGTGTCCCCTGTGTGTGGGTGCAGGTGCCTGTGTGGGGGTGCATGAGTGTGCATGTGTGTGCATGGGCGTGGACATGGGCGCGTGGTAGCAGCACATGTGTAGGTGTGCAGGCATGTCCCATGGTGGGGCCCATGGGGGTCGAGCTCAGCTCCAGGCCCCCCACCTGGTCTGTGTTGCTGCCACAGCGGCCCCTGCTCCCCTTCCAGGCGGGGATAAAAACAAGCCCCTCTTGCTTCTGAAGATGCCCAGTGTGCACGGGTGGGCAGCTGGGGCCCTGACCCCCCTCCGGAGATGGGGCGGATTTATGAGGCTGAGCCCCCCCAGCTCCCAGGGCCCTGCTGAGTGAAAGTTGCTGGAGCTGCGGCTCCTGGCCAGGCCCTGCTGAGCCCACCGAGCCTTCCGGCGTCATAAACGCTGGCGGAACCGACCGTTTGTCTCACTAATTGGCACCAACGTGCCTGAGTCCACTCAGTTCCGCCCCTGACAACTCCAGAAAAAAGTAATAGCTCTTGGCTTAACTCGCTGGTTTAATTTTTTTGCTGTGATTGTATTTTTCCTGTTAACTGAAGGGTGTTTTGTCTAAGGTGCTTCCTGACTAAACGCAGTCGGCCTGACTCTCTGGAGCAAGTTCTCTACCAGGCGCTGGGCGGAGTTGGGGAGCGGGGGGTGGGTGCCCCAGGTCCAGTGGGCTGGAGCAGCGGGAGAGGGAAGGGCGGAGGGCTGCCTGGGGGAGGAGGCGCGGGGGCCGGGCTCAGCCCCAGCCCGGGCAGGCAGCTCCGGCTCACGCTCTCCTTCCAAACAGGTGCAGGGAGAACCAGAAACCTTCTTTTGCTCCAGAAACCTTTCTGTGTGGTTTCTAGGGAATGCCCAGAACATCTCCGCTCTCGGGAGGGCCTGGCCGCGCCTCCCGGCCCTGCCGTCCTCGCAGGAAAGAGCCTCACGAGCCTTTTCGGAAGCAAACTCGTGCCAGCGTCTCTTCAAGAGGCTCCCGTGCTGTTTGCTGGAGAGCGGGGATGTCGTTCTGTTGTTTTGTTTTGTGTTGGTTAAATACCATCTTGTTCTGTCCGTCCTCAGCTGCCATGGCAACCGGCCAAAGCCGCAGACGATTCCTTAGTTAAATATTTTAAATGTGCGCGCCGGCAGGCCAGAGAGACCCGCTCTCAAGTGCCTGGGAAGTGGGGGTGAGGTAGCGCGGGCCTGTCTCTAGGTCCCAGCACCTCTTTCTTAAACTTCATTATCCTCGGCCCAAATCCGCCGTGGGGTTGACATCTGCGGGCGCTGGGCCGGTGTCATGTCCCGGATGGCACGTGCCTGGCCCACGGCCGCGAGGACGCTGCGAACACAGGCCGGGCCCCCCGCGGCCCCCACACCCCGGGCTCGCCCTTGGCGCCAGGACGGTGCCAGGCTGGCTCAGAGCGCCCACCCAGCCAAGCGGCGAGAGCCTGGCCCTGCGGGGGGCCCCTGCCGCCCTAGGCCAAGCAGGAGGTGGAGGGGCCCCGCGTCAGCTCCTCCCACCACGTGCTGTCCCAGCTCGCGGCCTCGCCCCCTCCCAGGCGGCTGCTGAGAGGCCTGGCCCCGCCCCGGCCAGGACAGCCTGGCCCGACAGCCGGTCCCTGGGGCCGGGTAAAGTCAGGGCGCCCGAGGGCAGGGCCCCCCGGCCTGCCCCACCCCACTGTTGGGCTGAGGGGTCCTTGCTACCCCCTAGACGACGGAGTCACTGGCCTGGGCCCCAGGGTCAGCTCGCGCGCACTGGGGTGAGACCGCGGAACCCCCGAGACCCCATCGGGGCAGGGATGGCGACGACGGCAGACAGGGGTGGCCAGCCTCCCCGGGGTGGGGAGGCCCCAGAGCGCCCCAGCCCTGTCCACTATCATAGTCAGGCGGGCGCCAGCCAGCATGGACGGGGCGGGGGGCTGGGGCGCAGGTCACTGCGGGAGGACCCGGGGGCCCTCCCTTGGATGCAGGTAGCCCCAGTGCACCGAGCTCACCCAACCCCTTCAGTGGGGAAACCGAGGCCCCGAGGGAGGGAAAGAATAGGCCCAAGTCCTCGGGGGCGCTGGGCCGAGGCCTGGGGTTACAGGAAGGGCGGGTCTCCCTCGAGGCCCGAGGCCCATGCCTTCACCCTCCCGAGGCCGCCACCTCCTCACGGCCCCTTCCCGGCCCGCCCCTCAGCCAGCTCCACCCCACCCCGCGCACCCCAGGGCCGTGCTGCAGGCTGAAGGGGGAGTGCCCGGGCCAGGGGTGTGTACACAGGCACACATGTGCAAACATGCACACATGCACCCGTGTGTGCCCGTGTGGGCTGGACACCTGCTGCGGGCATGCAGGGAACACACACCTGCACACACGTGACGGGAAACGCACAGACACACCCGTGTGCCCACAAACCGAAGACATGTGGCTACTTGTATGCATGGCTGGTGATGCACACCTGGAGGACGCACGTGCACGCCTGCGCCTGTAGACCCCGGTGTGAGATGGTTTCCAGCGCCAGTCCCACCCAGGGCATCCACACCAGCGCCCAGCGCCACGTCCCCCCCAGGCGGCCGCGCATCCTGTGGGAAGCAGCAGTGACAGTAGCCGCAACCGCTGACAGTCCAGGCGCCGGCCCCTGCTGCCCCGGGTGGGCGGGGCGGCCGCTGGCACACGGGCTGGTCCGGAGCCGCGTCCTGGCTGATGTCTCCCCCACCGTGGGTGCGTCTTCCAAGCCGAAGCCTGTGCAGGTCTGGCACCGATTTTCACCAGATTTTGTTATTACATTTGTCTCACAGCTTTAAAATAGCAGCAAATATGTGCAATTTATTTAAACAACACTGGGGAAATTAACGCCATGCAAACTCATCCCAAGCAAATGAAGATAAAGCAGGTTTTACACATAAGCGGCTGCCTGGAAGCCCTCGAAGAGTCGAGTCTGCTGCGCAGAGGTGACCCACAGGCGTCCGCTGCCAGAAGCAGCACCCCGAGGCCAGGCGCAGGCCAGGCCATCACCCCAGCAGGGTCCTCCGGCCAGTCCAGGCTCTGCCCTCTCGCAGGCCCACTCGGGACCACACCCCGCCCACTCCGGGGCAGGAACCTGGAGCCAGGAGCAGACGTGGGGCTGCCCGGGAGGAGGCAGTAAATCTGGGGGTCGGTAAGGCCCAGACGCCGGGGGCACACGGGCTCACCTCTGTGGCCGTCAGGAACGTCTCCAGAGGCCACTGCCGCCCGGGGACCTGGACGGCTGCGCTGCCCCCTTTAACAGGAGGGCAGGTCAAGGGGCCGACCTCACGGCGGAGCTGGCCGCGGGCGGCGGGGGTGGCCCCCCAGCCTGGCAAACAGTGAACCGCGTTTCTCGTCACAGCTCGTCCCGGCCCAGGCTGAGCCGGCTGGACCAGCGGCCGCTCCCAGCCACCCGACCGCGGGCTCCGGCGGCCCGGCCTCGCCCGGGTGTCCTTGGTCTGTGCAGACCGTGACGGCGCTTTGTCTCTCTGCCCTCTGCAGAAAGGAAAGGCGGGCGCGGCCCTGGCTGCCCCCCAGGCCCTGAACGACACGCTGCTGCCGTGGCCCCCGCACCAGAGCCCGGGCGGGCTGCGGCGCCAGAAGCGGGACTGGGTCATCCCGCCCATCAA